AATTTCATGTATTTCAAGGACGCAATCAGCAAAAACACGACGTTGTTGATCATCGGCCGGCTTGAGTTCTTGTGTTACCTGAACTTTGTAAGCCATACGACCCAATTTTGACGTTTATGGAATGCCCTGTTGCAAGGAACGAGTATTGGAAAAACCAGGGTTTTCTTGAACACTTTGGACTAACGCATTAGCTAGAGTAATATTAGCAGTTGTTCTATAGAGACGGGCACGTGATTTCTTTTTACAACACTAACTTCTCAGTGTTTTCTGTAATGCGGTCCGACAAGTTACTATACAATGATCGAAAGTATTTTAGTTTTACGAACTGCCTCTGCCAGGTTGTCACCATTTTTGTTGTGAATTTTGAAGCTTTTATCGTGTCATTTTGTTACTGGCGTAGTTTTTATTTATCAAAAGTCAAGAATTTACAGCTTTAAAAGTGACACACATACCGGAATAGTAAGTCATTAAAATAAAGGTCCCTTACTGGAAAACCCTTTATTAGCTTTAAGGTTAGGATTAGTTTATCTATGAATAATTTCCTCTTATCAGTTCTAAATAAATATTCATCTATATATATTTACCCACGTTTTGTCAGACCTATTATACAAATATGAATTTGTACTTAAACTTCTTCATTCGCATAGAAATTAAACATATATTCTTGGCTTTATGTAATCGCTGAAGCCATTTTCGGCAAAGCTTCAAGTTTCCTAAGCTCTAAGTTTCGTTCAAATATCTCTAAAACAGAGAGACTTGTTTGCGTTCAAACAGTTTGACGGACATACAGACAAATATATTACAATTCAGCTCGTCTTCATTCATTCGGTTCAAATCGGTCTAAATTTTAATGGATATATCTCTTCTTCTTTTATTACTGGCATACCTCGGACCACAGTTAACATACAATTTATTGTTTAGAGTGGTATAATAATAAATTTAGATTGTGCTAATTTGATTGAGCTTATTTTTTATTTTATTTTCTCTCGGTTGAAATGTGTTTATTTCGCTTAGATTTTATTTCTTGACTTCATTTTTCGTTTATTATTATATTTTCCAGGATTTTCTCACAGTTTTGCTGTTATTACATCTTGTTGCTATATTTGCTCCTTTGCCCAATGAAACAATTTACAATCGCGTCTAATTAATCCCGGCGCTTAATTTTTTTGAGTTGCCTGAAGGCAATTGTTTCTTGGTAATTGCTTGGTTGCCGGGCATAAGCGTCATCTTAAGAGCAAACATTAATTTCATTCACTTCTCTTATTCTTGTTATTTTTACTTTTTACAGAAATGCACTTGCATTTTACAATACGACGCAGTTACCTAGATAAATTGAGATATTTGAGATGTGTTTTATTGACAAAAATTTCCGAAGGTAAACATTGGAGAAATGGAACGCAACAAATGCTTAGAGACGTGTTGAATGCGATGCGGAAGTGAGCAAGCGATTTACCTGTGGGAAATGCAATAAAAAATTAAAAGAAATAGAAGCGTTCTTTCACAGAAGAATAAAAGTAAAGTAAGTACAAGCCATGAAACAGACTATTGAATTCTCAATTTGAGAAAATTAATCAAAATGAATTTCATTACTGGTATTGAAAGCTGAGAAATCTACTACAAAATATAACTAAGTAGATAAATATTAGTTATCAGCCCTAAAAAACTTATAAGAAATGAACGCTATCTTGACCATTCTCAGCTCATTATTCTTTTCACGAAGTTATCAGTTTTTAATATTTCAATTTAAGTTTAATTATTAATTTTGTAAATATCTGAAAAATTCATCGATCCCAGGTTTTTACGGATTTTTTACCTAAGAACTTATATCTCAAAAAATCGGTTGTATAGGGTTATGTTATATGGTTTTCCAATTTCGATGAATTTCAATGACAATTATTTTGTGTATATTGGTATGTAGAATACCAACTTTTATGCTTCGATATTTTTCGGCACAAATGTTATTTATCATACAAAAATGTATTTCATACCAAATTTCACGCTCTTAGCTGTTTTTGTGAAAATCTCAAATCCGAAAAATCGTCGATCAGGCCGGTTCTAATACACGTTTGTTTAAATGAACCAGTGGATTCGTTTGAAACGAAGGGGCTAGTTTGCATATGAACAGACGTACAGAAGGATGTTGGTTGGCCCGATCGGTATAATTTCTTTGGGTCTATGAATAAAAATGAGTATTTAAGCAAACAACGTCCAATAGGCGTCAACTTATACGAGATAGGAATTACTTAGATGACACTTCAATAAATAATTATATGTTAAGCTCCTTTTTCTTACACAGATTTCTCAATCCTTTGACAGCTTTCATTTTAGACTAATATAATAAACCAAGGCTGCATCGCAACGATAAATTTTATGTTAACCAAAAAATTTTTGTCGATTCGATTGATATTTGGAAATAGTAAAGTAAAAGTAGTGATACAGTTATTAGTATAAAATCCTCTTCGTTTATAACCGAAACGAAAACCTGTCATTGTTAATTCATTGTCAGATAACTAATGTTAAGCGCTACAATTTAAGTGTTCTATTAAAACCTAGCAAGCAGTCATTTTAATATTAACGTTAACGATGAGTTTTGTGCGGTTTCAATGTTAACGATTTCATTTCGTTGAATTGAGATTTTTATTGTTAGAGAAACGAAATGATATCGAAAAGTTTGTGCAGAATACCCCACACGACTTTTATTACCTTCTAAGACAACCAACGATCCCAACACAGAGAATCTGTGGCACGAATATTATATTTCTTCATCCGATTTCAAATTGTGTGAGATTTGGTACGAGTGGCTTACGTTGAAACACAGCGATTGATGTGGAAAGGTAGAAAAGCTTAGCATTCGACCAAGACACAATTTCCTAAATTCAAAACAAAAAAAAAAAAACACTGTATCTGTGGCTCTCTTTCAGTCATACAAAGTGATTCAGGCATTCTTCAATTCCTCAGTTAAATTTTTTGCTCACCTCATATTATGAACTACCAATGAACTTTAGTTTTTTTTTGCTTCATTAAAAAAAACTAGCATCGATGGCTTCCCTAATGGTCTACATATATAAAAAGCTTACAGCAAATTTTTCACTATATCTAAAGATTAATACTCTTCCTGCTGTTAGAAAAAACTGTATTTAAGAACTATAAGAAGATTCAGCAGAGCATCACCATTCTGGCGAAATACTGTCTTTGGTACACTTTGCAGGAAATGAACCGTCATGTTAGCCAAGGCGGCCAAATGATGATAATTTCCTGTGTTATAAGCAACATAAACATAAGACAAAGATAAAAGTTGCTTGTAACAACAGCAGCAACAATTGCATATTTAATACGTAATACGTAAGACATAAAGCTTATTAAATTGCCAAATAAAACGAAAAGTACAAATCACGCCTTCTATATGTGATTTGTGTATGTTTTATTTACTATTTCAACTCACAAGGGCATTAACTGGAAGTGTTGTAAGCGCTTAATGAATGCTTATAACGCGCCTAAGGTGCTTCCTTAAGAACAGTATTTCTGACACTTGGCTTTGACATTTTTTGTTCACTCTCTTTGCTGTTTGAATAAATTTAATTTGTGGGTTTGTATATGTTTGGGAATAAATTGCTTGAAAACGTGTAAAATTAGCGGCTTATCGAAATCGCTTTCATTTTGTTAATTAGCTATTAGTCTGTTTGAACTAATATTTAACATAAATGCTTTTTTTTTACTACTGCAAAGGCAATTTGTTTTTCAGCAGAGAAAAATGAAAAAAAATGAGTGAATTCATTTTAACTGTGAAAGATTACGATCGGTACTTCATAACTGTCAAAAATTGATATGATCATGTAGACAACTAATGAAATTGTTTTATTTAAATTTAGCATTTGTAAGGAATTTGCGATCGACCACAAGACGTGCGGGGTGGGATAGATACCGAGAGCTGAAGCGGAAAGCAAAACGTATCTGCAGACAAAAAAAGAAAGAGATCGAGATACGTGAATATGAAGAGCTTGAGAAGCTGGCCGACAAGGGTGATGCTCGAAAATTCTACGAAAAGATACGACAACTTACAGAAGGTTTGAAGACCGGAGCAGACTTTTGTAGTACAAACAGAGGTGATCTAGCTACTGATGCCCAGACGTTACATTACCTGACCTAGAAGAGCTTGAATAGCAATCGCCCGCTTAAAAAACAATAAAGTGGCTGGAGCTGACGGCCTACCGGCAGAACTATTTAAACAGAATATGTATGAACAAAATCATGTCCGACTATTGAAATTTAAGTGTGCTCTGACCAATCTATAAACAAGCCAAGCGAATGGGCTTGGTAGTGAACGAGGAGAAGACGAAATATCTCCTGTCATCAAACAAACAGTCATCGCATTTGCGTCGTCTATCTAGGAACCAGCGTTAACACTAATAATAACATCAGTCTTGAATTCCAGCGCAGAATCACTCTTGCCAACAGGTGGTTCTTTGGATTAAGTAAGCAATTGGAAACTAAGGTATGCATGGACGATGACTCCATCTGATGAGTGGGCGTCAGGAGTTTTCGAGAGAAAGGTTTTGCGTAAGATTTATGGTACTTTGCGAGTTGGCAATGGCGAATACCGCAGATCATGGAACGATGAGCTGTACGAGTTATACGGCGACATTGATTTAATTGAGCGAATCAAGAAAAAGCGGATACGCTGGCAAGATCATCTGGTTTGGCTGGATGCGAATACTTCAGCTTTGAAAGTTTTTGGTGCAGTACCCCCGGTGGATGCAAAGGAAGACCTCCACTCCGTTGGAAAGACCAGAGTTGGTATTTCCAATTGGCGCCAAACAGAAAAAAGAAGAAACGAATGACGCAATGTTGTTTAATCGGCTAGAATCTCGTGGCATAGACCAGTAAAGTAAGTAAGTAATAAATTTGCATATTAAGTTATACAGTCGGTTTACCTTATTTATATACAAATTATTGTAATAACAATAAATAACTGCTTCATACCTTACTTATGTTTTTATATGAATACATTATTAACGTTTGTTTTCTTTAAACTCCGAAACTACCGTGCAGATTAGGCTGACAGTTTTTCAGTTTGTTTCTACATACCACTGAAGTTTGTACGAAAATCTTAAAGTTATTCTATTGTTCACTTCCATTAGATTCGTTAGAATATTTTTATTATCTCCGTCAATTATTCACACGTCTTATTTCAACGGGCTTACAACCACAACAACACGCATTGGGGCAAAATAAGTAAACCAGAATTGGAAAAATGATGAAAAATACTGATAATGCAGCACTAATAACAACCCAGAGCTTGGTTTTGTCCCATGCGGTTTTGTTTTTGGAAGAATCATCATTTATTCTATATTCTTCATATACACTTTCCTCTTCCTCTAAATAAACAGGCACCATATCGAACGATCTGTAATCTGAAATATATTTTGAGGCGACAAACTGCAAAAGATTCGTTTAGAATTTTATCTAAATTGCGCAGATGAAAAACATGTTTTAAAACTTGCCTGTAATGATAGAATTGTTCCAAATGACAGTAAAACATTTCTTAGCAATGACATTAATTCTTTATTCTTTTATTTTTTTGCAAACATTCAAAGGGAGTCTTCTGTTAATTTCAAGAAAAAAAATTTGTTATTGTTTTGTTTTTAATTTTTTTATTTCGTCTTAAGTGTTAGAAATGAAAAGTTCACTTCAAACTTAGTTCGACGAAGATGACAGTATATTTCTTTCAGAACAGTGGCTGTAAAAAGTCTTAATGTTAGTGCAGAAATTATATGTATTCCCTTTAAAATTAATTTAGAACAATTTTGTAACCAGGATTTTTTGCCAGAATTGGCAAGAGGGAAAAGCACAAATTTTAATGGATTGACTTTGCTGGTAGCTCCTAAATTTAAAGTAATAAAATTCACTTTAATAATGGTGAAAAAATGGCAGAGGCGGTTTGATTAACTAAATCAATTTGGGAAGTCTTGAAGCATCTTGTCGGAAGGTAATACAGAAATTGATAGGAAAAGCGGAGTTGGAGAGACAAGTTAGTGATGTGGAGAATAAACCGCGTGCCCACGTCAGTCAAGGACAGCGGAGAATATTGCTGAATTAGTTGTTCTTTGCCTTTTTTTGGAATTGGGAATTACACAAACGTCTTTACACCAAATTTTGAAAAAAAAAGTTGAGTATTTAAACCTTTAAAAGTTCAATTAACCAAGAACTCAAGCTGGTCGATTACTAACAATGCCATTTTTTTCTAAATTGACGCCTTGAAAAGCATAAAATGTTGAATTTCATTGATCTTCACTTATGAGGCCCATTTCCACCTCGATGGCTACATCAATACACAAAACTGACGCATCTGGGGCTCGGAATACCCAAAATTTAATGTTGATAAGCCGTCTAATCTTCAATAGTTCGGCTGTACCATTAAACCTTAGTTTTTCAAAATGAGGCAGGAGCAACAGTAATAATAATTAATAATTTTTTATGGCCGGAATAATTTTTTTTTGCTCACTAACTATATACAAATAAACGAAAAAATTCATTTACGCCAGTTGAATTATTATGATCATATATTAAGTCAAGTCGAGTAGGTGCTTTCTATTTTGAGTTTTAGAATACATGGTTTTCCGACTGATCTGTTAGTCAGCTATCGATTCTGCAGAGATGCAATTTAAGAAATCAAAGTTGATGTTTTTTTGACGTGACCAAAGAAATAAAAATATATTCTTGTTCCAATAGTTCTTTGTACGTATATTTTTAAGAAACACTTATACCGATCATCTTATTCTAATATTAAACATAAACCAATTATTTTCCTCAGAATTCATCCCAAGAATACTGCGATTGCAAATCTCTTTTATGAAATTTGTCATTCCGTTGCAATTTAACTTTTTTACATATGCAAAGACGAATATTTCGCCAAAATATATATGTATATATTATTGCGAGTACGGAGCAAAAAGAAATTGAAGCACATAGTATAGCCCAGTCTTCTTTGTTGAGCGGCGAAAAAAGTTTACTTTTCTTCAGCGTTTTCTCCGTTGTGGTTGTTGGTTTACTATCTAACTTGGTTGGTTGCGATATTTTCACATCTGGTGGGTCACTCAGCTCTTCCAGTGGTTGAGTTAAAACACACTGAAAAAGTAGTAAGTATTGTACATTTGTATATGTTTATAATATATATGTAAATTAGAATAATACTAAACATGCCTGTAATAACAGAAATGTACTGATTTGTAAATATATTTTCAAATGTGACGCCATAAAATCAATTAGACTTGTGAATTGTAAGAAAACTGAAATGCAACTGAATCAAGGTTTAATTTACGAAAGTTGCTTACATCGCAATTACACATTTATTGAGATCTCACTTCTCCTCATTCCTTATTCGCATATCAGCTGGCGCTTGAGTTTTGCATTTATTATTTGTATACGTAAAATGCTTATATACTCCGTAGCAAATCCGGAAACACAGAATTCAATAACCCTTCGAAATGATAGTTAATAATTTTTTCTTTTTTTAATTTATCGATGCAAATCTTGGGAAATTTAAGTNATAAGTACATTTGTATAAATTTATAATATTGAAATTATTAAACATGCCTGTAATAACAGAAAAGTACCGATTTGTAAATATATTTTCAAATGTGACGCCATAAAATCAATTAGACTAGCGAAATGTCAGAAATCTGAAATGCAACTGAATCAAGGTTTAATTTACGAAAGTTGCTTACATCGCAATTACACATTTATTGAGCTCTCACTTCTCCGCATTCCTTATTCGCATATCAGCTGGCGCTTGAGTTTCGTACTTATTATTTGTATACGTAAAGTGCTTATATACCCTGAAGAAAATCCAGAAACACAGAATTCAATAACCCGTCGAAATGGTATTAACAATATTTTCGAAAATAGGGGCAGTAAGTTTTTTATTTGAAAAGCTTTGAGCTATTAAAAGTTTGTACATTATTTTCTTTTATTAATTTATCGATGCAAATCTTGGGAAATTTAAATACTTACATATATTTCGTTGCATAAATATTTTATATGGTATTTTATATTTTAAACAGTTGAAAAGAAGTAATCATTTTAAATAATCTAAACGAATGCATTAAAGTTGCTTGAAATTATGTTTCTGCCATTCAATTTTTATTTGCCTCCTAAGTAAAATATGAGTGTGCGCAAGTTTTCCCATATTATGAGAACTGAGAGCTTTTTGTAAAGAAAATTTAAAATTGCATGAGAGAGATTTCCACTGTTGATATCAGACCAATATATGTATGTATGTATTTTTCGTTATAAATAAAAAATGTGTAAGTATCATGTTTGATGAATTAGATAAATTAAGTTATTTTCTCACTAATTCCGTTTATTTAGTATTAGTATAATTTAGTGATTGAATATGACCATAGCTATTTTTAAAGTTATTGATATTGTCTTTGCTTTAATTTCAATATAATCAAATAGGCTGATAAAAATTCTAAAGGAGTTTGTGATTCATATAATGGCCATGGACACTAGAAATATGTTTTAATATTGAATTTGTCACATTCAGAGCCTAAGTTATTTATCCGATCATGTTACTGATTGACTGCACTAGTCTGAAAAGAGTGAGAGCAGTTTTTATCTTCATGCGTAGTTTTTATGGTATCTTTTGGCTGCGCTGACCTGAAAATGACTGATTTTGCCATAAACTGTCAGGCTTGGGCATTTGTGCTAAATTGTCTATCATCTTATACTAAAATATAGAGAAACTCATTTTTATATTCGTAATAGAGTAACAAAACATATATTTTATTTAAAAGTCACTAAACGTACTTCCTGTTACTGGTCCGATCAACATCAAAATATTATAGAAGGAAAATTTTTCTGTCCGCGGTCGCTGAAGTAAAGCATCTCATAAAAATCCATCAGCCGCTCAGCAATGGTTGTGTTGATGTGTCCAATCCATCTTATATCTAATCCAAATGAAACATATTTCTTCAACTAAGGCTTTAAGAAAGGCGGTGGTAGGTAAACTTTACAAGGGAGCACCAAAGCTTCCGGCAGGTCATGCTCTTCGTTAGTTTAAGACACTTTTATTTCAGTCTCTTGAAAATTGGGTGTTTCCGTTTTTTATTATAATCATTCGTCTTACTTTAATAAAAACAACATCCGATACTATGATTCAGAAAGCTGTTTTCTCTTAACAAGTTTCGAAGCCCTTCAACATCAGATGACTTGCCTAAATCCTGTACTCTAAATTTATGTTTTAAATACGCGAAGTATATTTTTAATTCAAAGTCTTTTAACTTAAGGTTTTACTTTAAGCCATGAATTTCCCAAAAATATAACAGAAATTTTCAGACGAATTTACACACTTCCATACAGATTAAATATTAAAGAAAGATCTTTAAAAATGACCAGCTATCCCGTAATTGAAAGCACTTAGAAAAAAGTTTTGTTATACATACATAAATAGGTGACTTCAAGTTGGCCCATAAAAAATATAGTATACGAGAATATCTTTTTAAATTTATTATTACTTTAAGCCTTATAATAACTTTTTTTTATATTAATTCGAGCTCGTATAAATATGTTTTCTTCTTCCATTTTGCTTTCATCTAACAGTTTGTGGCACTGTTGAGTTCTTAGTGAACTCCTTTCCCGATATAGAATATCCTATATCGTTTAATTGTTATGGGGTATCACCTGCCTATAAAAAATAGCACATTAATATTAATAATATATATTATAAATATTATGTGATATATATTATATATATTATTAATATTAATGTGCTATTTTTTATAGGCAGGTGATACCCCATAACAATTTGAAGCCGCTGATGAGATTCTCGACCGAGCTCATCTTCAAATTTGTGGAATGGCTGATGGTTTTTTATGAGGAATTTTATTTCATGTCGGAAATACACTTGGAGGTTTCGACATTCTCTGCCAAGGGGCGACCGCAATTACAAAATTTAGCTTAATAATTTATTTAAATTACTTTTCTATAACATTTGGATGTTTGTCGAATAGGGATTTGAACACTATCCTTCCAAATGGCAGTACTCAAACCGAACGATTCGGATACCGCGGTCGAATATTTAATATAGAGGCATATTATGATTTTAATGTCAGGAATACTCTCCTTGGGCTTGAGATACCCTGCCGAGCGGCTAAGGCATTCAAATTAGCTAAATTTTTTATTTAAAATAATTTTCTGTAACTTTTGGGTGTTGGTCGGACCAGTACTCGAATGCTGGTATTTCGAATGGTACCATGCAACTTTATCCACTCGAAAAAGGCTGCAACCACCCATCTAACATACCTTCCGTCCATAGCAACCCATCTTATGAGAGCGCTCACCGCTTGCCAATGCCGTTAGTGCCGGTTGTCTCGCAGAAGCCAGCGACGATTTGATTTTTTCCGTAAAACCGGCTCGGCTCATTTCTCGTTGCTATACAAGGTTGCCAGTATAAGCTTTTTTAAAGAAATATTAAATAATCGAAGATAATGCGTAGGTTTTTTCAAAAGAAATAAAAACTAAATTCGAAACTAATTATTTGTTACCATATAGATCATGTATATTTGATTTGCGTTTTTATTCGAAGACATAAATTAT